CAGTGTCGGGGCCCGCGCTCGTCTCCGGTTCCCGCCGACGTGTCGACCGCTTAGCCGCCGGGCCCTAGGCCGGCCTTGGCTCCCCAAGCGGGCACGACTGTGTGAGGCCCTCGTGGCGACCTGTCTCTGCGGGGCCCTGGCCTCCCACTGACGGGAGACCCCCTAGGGCCCGGTCGCTGTCCACGGACGTCGGCCATGCTGGACACCCCGTGGTGGCGGGGGACCTGCGGCATCTGTGCTGCTGCCAGCCTGGACGCCGCCGTTAACTCCACGCGACGAGGAGTGCAAGGGTGGTGGGATCAGACAGGGAAGTAAAGGGACCAAGGGGCTCCGGAGCAGGGATACTGCGATTTGCAAGAAAGTCTTAGAGGCCACAAGCCCGCTGGGACAGTCGAGTGATCGCTTGTGGAACTTTCCGGCCCCGTGGGTGAGCGCTACTGTGGGATATTTAAGCCCTGCCACGGCCACGTGGTGAACCGGAAGGGAAGCCAACACGTGCAACATCCTGCAGTCAGTTACCCAGCCGTGCGACCCATGTGTTTGGCCTTATACACCGGTTTCTCCAGTACAGTCTTGTGTCACTTAACGATTTCTTCATTGTGGGAACATTCCAGAGTGTACTTGTATGGGAGGGTCTGTTGCTTCTGGGCTGCAAACCTGTACAGCATGTGACGGTACCGAATACTTTAGGTGATTGTAACAGCATGACAAGCATTTGTGTATATAAAACAGGAAAGATACAGTACAAATGTGGTACAAAGTTTAAAAATAGTCCACCTGTGTAGGGTGCTCAGCATGAATGGAGCTTGCAATCGGGACTGGTATAATCAACCTGTAGGCGTCGGGGTTTTCTACAGGGCGCTCAGATGTTGCTCTGGGTGAGTCAGTGATTGGTGCGTGAATGAAGGCCTGGGACATTACGGTACCCTACTGTAGACGTTGTGAACACTGCATGCTTAGGATGCGCTAAATTTATAAAAATGTACTTTTATATATTTATAGAAATATAGCTTATTTACTAATAAGTTAACCTTAGCTTACTATAGCATTTTTACTTTTTTTTTTTTTTGAGTTGGAGTCTCACTCTGTTGCCCA